TAATCGTACACTTTTAACATGAAAGAATTCGGTTTCTTGCATCTAAGATTGCGCGAGTTCAACTGTACCGAAAATAGGCAAAGGATCTCCGTGCAGACTGGCGCAATAGGCGTCCACATAAAAAAAAGCAGTGACAATTCGGGGTACCTTCTCTGGTTGCTATTTTGGCTATCCTTTCGCAAAAGTGCCATTTCCTAAGCTCCCTTGCCAACTAGTTCCGGGAACCTTTCCTGTCTATTATTTCTATTTCTATCTTGCCTCTGCACATATTATCCCTAAAGCCTACTCTGTTCACAGAACCTGGTCATACAACGTCATTCTTTACCTCTTCGTCTGGCATAGTTTGATGGATGATGTGGGAATATTTTCAGAGTAACTTTGGGGCACACCCGAGTGGGCTCTTCGAATAGTCCTCGGTCCGGTTGCGGCCCCCTTTTGCTGTTTTGCTGATGGCTCCACCTCACTTTTACAGATTGATCATACTTACATGGCTGCCTTGACAATCCAACCACCCTATATCCTCTGTCACCATGGCCATCTACCCGCATACACATTTTTTGGTATCCAAGTCAGCCTCGTAGACAGGACTGGTTTATTCTTTGCATCAAATCACACCTCTCCGAAACGTAAACAAGCTGTGAATCCAGGTGCCTGGCTGTTGGGTGTGATTCGCTTCTCTGTAGATGGTCACTTGATGTCTGCCGATCTGTCGGTAGAAGTGAGTATCGCAATGACGCACAGCTACAGTGCGATTGAGGACCATGCTCGTGCCAGCCTCTGCACAAGCCTAGCCACAACTTGAAGAAGTGAAAGCAGTAACTCGGTCGACTTTACGCTTTGGAGGCGTTTGTACTTGAGATAAGAGGTCCTATTCCGGACAACAGAGAAAGCCATTCACATCCGCTGTAAGACCTAGGCAGAGGATTCTCCTCACGCAACTCTAAAGCAGTTTTGTACCATAACTTATACACTTATAAACTCCATCACATTTACCAACAAAATTATTATATTTTTGAAGATAATCTTGCTAGTAAACAATCTCTTTGTGTATCAGGGATAAGGAATAAAATCGAATTAACATTAGATTTGATTGAAAGTTAGACTTATGTAATGAGAAAAATAATTGAGATAGTGGTTAGTTTAACATCTTTTCTTATGTTCCAATCATGCTCTCTTTCTCTAACTCGTTCTGGCAAGGATACGCGAAATGTTGATAAAGTAGGGATTTATAATTGTTGAGCTTATTTTCATTTCGAGTGAAAGTGTGCAGTGAAGAGATTCGAAGCTCGAATCCACCAGAAGATGACGGCAGATTCCTCGTGACCGGCTGTCGATTGGCTTTACTGGAACATTCATGCTGACGCTGTTTCCCAGACAATCTCCTTCGATTCAGGTGAAAAGATGCTAAGCTTTTGTCCGTCATATGATGGACATCATCAGAGTCAGGTATCATCACCACAACCAAATGCAAGCTAACGAGTCAAGAAAACTCTCCGGCAAATCCCTAAAAAGTGGTACACATACTCTACATCTGACCTCCTTGATCAAGTATAAATGATGTGTTTTTTCTTGTTTGAGTAGAGTTTCGTGACTACCAGTAAATCAGTAGTATGAGATGTATTCACCCTATTTCGTTTAATGTGATGAAGGACTGGTAGTAGAATTTTCCAACAATGATATGAGTAGAACTGACGTTTCCATTCAATTTCACATTGCCTTGCTTTCCCAAAAGTTGTTCTCATCCTCACATTCTGCACTGTCACGGTTCGACTTACGATTGGGGTGTTGATAAGACCAATGCGAGGTCGAAACTGCAGTCCACTGGTGCCTGGATGAGAACAACTTTT